GGGGGGGTTATCGCTGCTCTCATCCATGCTAGGCTGCATGGATGCGCAGGGAGTTCTTGCCCAGAACAGAACCATACCGCCAATCCAAACTGTATGCTAATTGTCAATCATCTTTGACGATAGTGGTCCTGACAGAAGTAGATGTGCGATAAGAAAGGGTTGTTTGACATTGGAATTTGTTGTAACAAGACCGTCATGAACCATCTTCTGTTAATGAAAGATTACAGAAACTGGAAGTAGCAGCAAGTATTGACCTGGTTTTCAAGTTTTCAACCTGTGAGGCGCACCCCCCCAGGGGGGCGCCAGCACCTGTTAAGGGGGGGCGCGAGCATCAGGAGACGTTCTGCCTGTTCCTCTTCACGGACCTGGCCCTCCTCCACCCTCCTGGACGTTGTGTTGGTTGGGGTGGATGTTACTTTAGGGCGTCAGGAGCCACCCTTAGAGGGGGGGATATGTAATGTGGTGTTTTGTTTCATGTTCATGTTTTCCATGTCTTTTATTTTGTAATTGTTTCATGGTCCATGTTAGTGTCATGCTTCCCTTGCCTCATGTCTCTCTGCCTTGTGTATGTGTCATGTTCTGATTGGTAGTCTTAGTCATGTGTCTTGTTCCCCATTGGTTTGTTCATGTCATGTGACCCTCCTTGTTTTCTATAAGTAGCTTCATGTTCCCATTGTGCCCTCGTCGTGTATTGAATGTATTTAACCCGCTGTTGGTGAGTCTAGTCTGTTTGTGTCAAGTCAAGTCAAGTCAAGTCAAGTCAAGTCAAGTCTGTGTCTTGGATTATTGTTTGGATGTTTGGATCACTCTGTAAATAAACTGCACTTGGGTTCTCACTATGCTCACCTTCAGTGGATTGACTCTTTACAGAATACACAACCACTAAAATGAACCCAGCAGTTTCACGCCTCCTCTGCCTTCGTCAAGGTGACTGGCCTATTGAGGACTATGCGGAGGATTTTTGTGAACTGTCTAACCAAGTGGGTGCTCACGTCATGCCTGCCAAGCCACAGCCTTCTCACGTCATGTCTGCCAAGCCACAGCCGGCCCACGTCATGCCTGCCAAGCCACAGCCTTCTCACTTCACGCCTGCCAAGCCACAGCCTGCTCACATCATGTCAGCCAAGCCACAGCCTGCTCACGTCATGCCTGCTTCTCCAGGACCTGCTCAAATCATGCCAGTTAAGTTAAAGTTTACTCCTATCATTCCTACAAATTCAAAGCCTGATCACATAATGTCTGCCGAGCCAGAGTCTGATAACGTCATGTCTGCTACCCCAGGGCCTGCTCACGTCACATCTGCCAAGCCAGAGCCTGCTCACATCATGCTGATTACACAAGAGTCTCTAAACAAGATGGCCGCCACGCCTGAGTCCCCGGCCAAGATGGCCGCCACGCCTGAGTCCGTGGGCCAAGACTCAAAGGACTGATTGCTTGTGTGATGGACCCACCTCTGATGTCGGTGCGAGCTGCAGGCATTCCGCGACGTGTCCTGTCACGGCCAAGGAGGCCGTTCATGAACTCACCGTCTGTTCTGCCACGGCCATGGAGGCCGTCCATGAATTCACCGCCTGTCCTGTTAAGGCCAAGGAGGCCATTCATGAACTCACTGTCTGTCCTTTCATGGCCAAGGAGGTCATTCAAGAACTCTCTGCTTGTTCGGTCACAGGCATGTGGTCAGTCCATGTCTCCCCCGATCTGCCTGCCCCGCCATGCCTCCCCGATCTGCCTGCTCCGCCATGGCTCCCTGTTCTGCCTGCTCCGCCATGGCTCCCCTCTCTGCCTGTTCCTTTTCACGGGCCTGGCCCTCCATCCCGCCCCCTGGACCACCTCCAGTCCTCCACCCTCCTGGACATTGTTTTGGTTGGGGTGGATGTTACATTAGGGCGTCAGGAGCCACCCTTAGAGGGGGGGATATGTAATGTGAACGCTCGCCTTCAGTGGATTGACTCTTTACACAATCACGCTCAGTGTTGCCAAGTCCGCAGTTTTCCCGCGGAATTGGGCTACTTTAACACTTGCCG